TGCACTTTTTCCTGCCATTTTATTTAAGTGGACATTCTGTATAAATGTGCCCACCATATATTGCCCTTATCCAGGGGGAGGGACACTGACCTCTGACCCCCCTGTGGCCCCCCTAAAAATGAAAAGTGAAAAAAATGAAAAATGTATGATTTATTACACGATTTATTGAATGACGGAATAGGCGGAACTAACGTTATTCGTCATTCTAGTCGGACCCATTAGAGCGGTGCACTCACTTTCAGTGTCCGGCTGAAGCGCGCGAAAACAAACACTTTTCATCTGGGATCATCAGAGGCTGTTGCATCCAAGAAAGACTGATTGAAACCTACGTTTCGAGAGACTACCACGATAATTGAAGGTGAGTTATTGTCGATGTAAAGTGGAGATGTAACTGTTCATTGCTTTTATTTTTATATAAATATGATATGGTGTTAGTGCAAAAATGTATATAACTTAAGCTGAAGCTAACAGTAATAACTATAAGATATATCTGAAATAAATAAGTGTACTGAAACAAATACCAATAACTGTATTGCATTGTTTTCTTATGCGCAATTACTTCATACTGTCTAGTATTCTCTTTTTCGTCCTGCATTTATTGTGCCCCCCTCAGAAAATAACTGGCCCCCCCAGTGGCCCTCCCAGTCAAATTGGTCTAGAACCGCCACTGCACCACCGCCCATAATGATTGCATTAACATGCAGTCGGGAAGCTCCAGGGGGGAGGCGACACCATGGCCGCTCGTTCTGTATTCTGCCATCACGCACAAACAAATATGAGAGTTAATTCCCGCTCTGAGAGACACACATGCTCCCGGCGATGCTCACTGACATACAAGTGTGTTACAGTTAGATTTCTGATGTATTGTCATTTATGTTGAGGTTGTTTATGCTTGGGTGCACTACCATTTTTTTCTGCATTTCAATGTGTTGTTTTTGATTTGCCTCTGTGACATTTTCATCTAAATAAATCTGTTAAGCTATTTTCCGTCACAGACTGTCATAAAAACAATGATTTCAACCCGGGAAGAGTTCATGAAAGCTTCATTATTTATTTCTCTAAACACCTGGTGCCATGTGAGAAACTACAAATGATAAATCACTGAATCCTTAAACTCAAACGGGTGGACATTATTGCCACACAGGTGTTCAATTCATCCAATAAGCTTGGAGATATTTCATCAGAGGACAAAACTGTCAACCTGCTGCCGGCACGAGAGAAGACTCCAGGGGAAAATAAAAAATGAGGTTGATTTACCCTCTTGGAAATGTGAAGGTTTGTACAAAACTCCACGGCAACACATGTAATAAATGATGAGATACGACAGTCACACAGCTAGTGGCTTACACTCAAAACCCTCTAGATCACCAGCAGTGAAGCACTTTATAACCGCAGTTTACCGGAAGAACACAAATCCAGTGAAAAGCATGATTGACTGAATCTCAAGTATAATGCAGAGACAATCCAAGGAAATTAAGACATAACTAATTAAACTACTTAGAAATATCTGGGGAAGTATAACGGAAATCTTTCACAGAGTGGAAAAAGGAGAGTTAAATAGATTTTTCGTCGTTGCTACAATATTTTGATTTGAGGTTAGTGTGTGCCGAAAGAACGAGATCGCGGGTACAAGCGGCCGAGATGGGTTTTCTCCGCAGGGTGTCTGGTGTCTCCCTTAGGGATAAGGTGAGAAGTTCGGTCATCCGGGAGGGACTCGGAGTTGAACCGCTCCTCCTTTGTGTCGAAAGGAGCCAGTTGAGGTGGTTCGGGCACCTAGTTAGGATGCCACCTGGGCGCCTCCCTAGGGAGGTGTTCCAGGCACGTCCAGCTGGGAAGAGACCAAGGGGTAGACCTAGAACCAGATGGAGGGATTATATCTCTTCTCTGGCCTGGGAGCGCCTTGGGACCCCCCAGTCAGAGCTGGTTGATGAGGGGAAAAGAAAGTTTGGGGCTCTCTGCTGGAACTGATACCTCCGCGACCCGACCACGGATAAGCGGGAGAAGATGGATGGATGGTTAGTGTGTGCAAGCTAGTCTGTAAACATGTGTTTTTATCATGTATTATATCAGGGAGGCTGTGGCTAAGTGGATAGTGCGCTGAACTTTGAATCAGGGGATAGCAAGTTCGAGTCACACTGCAGTCAGCATGTCGTTGTGTCCCTGAGACACTTCACCCCAAAGTGCTCCTGTGGGGATTGCCCACAGTACTGAATGTAAGTGGATAAAAGTGTCTGACATGTAATGTGATGTAATATTAATGTTGAACTTAAGAACTTCTCCTAAAAGTTTCATCAGCATATTTGCTTATATATGAGTTTGTTGAATTTGCAACAACATTGTGAAACACTAACCGTGTTGAGATGTGATGTTGGTTGACATTCAAAGACATGTTTAATTTGCCTTGAGTAAAGTTCAATAGAAGCATTTTAATCCAAAAACAAAGAAATGAGCAATTATGCACATTTTGATTAAGGAGCAGGGTGACATACACTCGTCGCCTACTCTTAAAGCTTCACTTCAGAATATCCTTCTGCCCACGCGTTGTGGGGCAGGCATTCAGAAAAGGAAACTCTGCCGCTGTTATTTTTGAGTGTGTGGATTTTGGGTTTCAGCTGGAACGGAAATAGCCTGCAGAATACAGACTTCAGTTACAGGGGAGGTGAGACTTTGGGTCATGTTTGTCACAAATGTCATTTCAAATCACTGGATAGACAGACAATTCATCTGGGGACGCATGTTGCACCTTGGGTACGTTTTTGACAAAACCAGAATCACGAGCTGATTCACCTAATGTGAAAAGACATGCAGGAAAACAAATTTAATAACACCTTTAGTGGAACCCTGCATTCAACACTAAAATATTCAGCACCATTGTTTATGACTCTAATGCTAATGGTCTAAATACATTTAAACCAGGTAAATACAAACACTTGCTTGAATACATGAATATTTTATTCTGAACTGTGAAGCATTAGCATAAAGCTGTTTTGCTCCACGATGAATATGAGGCTGATTCAAAAAAAGAGACAGAAGGTTGCTTTAATGGGGAAAAGAAAGTGTCACTTTTTAAAAGCAGCTTTTCCTGAAGTTTGTGAGAAAGCTTTAAAGAGAGAAAAAATTATGTTTGCTTATGGAGGGTCTGATTTAGCCAGAATATGGATGACCCAAATAAGCGATGACCTATGGATCTATACAGCTTTAATTTGGAAAGTAACTTTTGGAAAATCATTGTTTGATGCCCCTGGTAACCCTGAAACGATGACGCAGTGAAAGCTGCTTTCATTGATTTGTTTTTGGCCAAGCAAAAGTTGGATGGACAGTTATTCATACTGCAATATTGAGTTTATACTGAATGTGCTTGGAAGCTTCTTTTGTGGAATTATGCTTCATCGTAAAAGGTTCACTTTTAAAGTGATCACTTTAAACTGGGAACGAAACCATCAAAAGTAACACTGATGCCTCTGTATGACCAACAAAGGCAAACGAGACCTCCAGCAAGAAGAAGGGTTATTTCCATAAAGTTATTCTTATTGCTCGTTATCGGAACACTGGGTTTGAATCTGACGAAATCACATGAAATCACATGAAACTCTTTGAGCTCGGACTCCAGCGGAGCCTCCAGCAGCGACAGGCCATCATCCAGAACATCAGTCAAATCTGAGGTTTTCTAAAGGGCCTCTGGTGTCCCAAAAACACTATCACTTCTGTCCACATGGGGCGCCACAATCAACACCAGATGACATCTCCTGAAAGGTCCCCTATTATACTGTTTTTCATTTCATATACCAGATATATCCAGAACCTGTCTCTGATTGGCTGAAACACCAAACAGATCATTGCAGCATTACCCATAATCCCCTCTGTTTCAGCCCTGTTTCCAAAGTGCTGATTCTCTGTCTGTTACTTTAGATGAAAATAAGGAGCCCCTCCCCACGCCCCTCTGAGAGAGATTTGGTTAAAAAGAACTCAATGGTGCTCTAGGAGGAGATTCAGGTGATAAGGGGGGGGGTTACCATGGTTGCTGATTGGCTAATGGTTACACAAGACAACACATCGTTATGACATCATAAAGTGGCCAAAATCTGATCAGCTCATTTTCAGACAGGTTTTTATAGAAATGGATCAAAAAGAGAGAGAATCTTTGTTCCTGAAACTTTCAGAGTCTCTTTCCACAGAGGGGACACATGTTGATGTAGAAGAGACATGAAGAAGAGGGGACACATGTTGATGTAGAAGAGACATGAAGAAGAGGGGACACATGTTGATGTAGAAGAGACATGAAGAAGTGGATTTTGCATAATAGGTGACCTTTAAATCTCCTTAACTAACGTTTTGGTTTTCATAAACGTCAGAATATCTAGGTTTTACTTTGCTTTATGCTGGTTTATAACTGTGTGTCTGCGGTATGTTGCCGGCAGATAGCATACAGGGAATTATTGGTAAAAGATCATTTGCTGCTGATTCTGGAAAAGCAGTGTCACAGAGAGTTTACAAGCCATACAGTACAAGCCAAAATGCTAAAAGAAGCTAAGATTATAAAAAAAAGGGATGTTCAGAGTTCAGTGATAATTCTTTATGGGTCACTGTGACATTACTTTTAGTCCTTCATCCATTTATAATATGATAAATATTCATCACTGCGTGCATATGGTTAAACTTTGGTGTTTTCTGAGGCGTACATCCGTTCAGATTCACGGATCTTGTCTCTGCTTTCCTTCAATTGTAGGAAATATTTACTAAAAGGCAAACTACAGCAGGGTTTAAAGCCTGATGTGTTCAAAGAGAATGTGTGAGTGCCACCGAGCTGACCCCTAAAAGGTTCTGCACCTCTGCAGGGCAGGTGACAGCTACAACTGGTGCCTGTACTGAGCAGGGTGAGAAACATATGTATCATGCACGCACGCACATAAAGCCAAAAATAGATCGATTATTTTGCAAATAAATAAAAAATAAGTATCTGTTTTGATTTGTAAATGTTTAGTCATGTGTTGCTGCCTAATGGTCCAAATGCACAGATGAATATGTCCGGTGTCTGTCACTATAGTTACAGTCCAGTTTGTTATGATTAAATATACAATTATACATTTTA